ATACTACTTTCACGATTGTCGTTGCATATGGAGTAAATATTCGACGAAATCGCATTACATCATTTTCTTGATGTGATATGACAAACAAACAAACAAACAACAAATGACTTATTAGTAAAAGGGTATGTTTTCTATGTACTAAAAACGTATGTTTATTCCTATAAGTAATCCTAAGACGTCTGATATAACTTCGTACACGAAAGATGATATAACAGATTTAAATTCTTAATCAGATCAAATATGATTTAAAACGTGGGTATTTTTTCTTATCTCGAATTGTAATAACCTTGGCCCAAGAACAAAATTGTTAATTTTTGATGAAAATTTTCTATTTGATTCAAATGTATGTGACGATAAATTCGAAATTTGTATATTTTGGTCAAATATTTGACGTCACGGTTATCTGCAAGTTGCGTCTGACGCCATTCGGTTGAGGGCATGTCTGTCTGGGTGGGTGTCACACATCGCGTCGTCCCAGACCAAGCCTCCCTGATGGGGATTTGTTGAAAAAGGATGTATTCATATGGGCCTTTATTGGGCTCATTCTTTCTGTCAAATAGGGACCAATAAGAATTGGATTTTGGCTTATGTTAGTAAGTGGGCTCCTTTTAGTTATGTGGACCCAAAAAATATTCTTGTATTTCTGTGAAGTCAAAAGTCACGTGACAAACCATATGCCACAATCCACATCCTCCTCTCATGTAGTTATCCCTCGAAGGGGCCCGACCCGGCCCGGGACTGGCAACCGATCCGGCCCGGTACCAGTTATAGGATCAAAAACCGGGACCGGTTGGGGTTTTTGGTAGTTTCGTGGGACCGGGACCGGTTATGAACGTGCCCGGCCCGGCCCGAAAATTAAGATAAATATATAAATAAATGTATTTTTAAATATTTTATAATGTATTTTTTAAGACAATGTAATTTTAATTATATTAAAATGCATTTTTAAAGTGTATTTGAGTGATCTAATTACAAATTTTATAATGTATTAAAAATATATATTATTAAAAAAGAAATTAAAAAATTTTATTTTTTTAATATCGGGACCGGGACCCCATAACTGATTATGATTCGCCTTGGACGGTCTTCACCTTTTCGATGGGGACCGAGACCGGTTACACCGGGACCAGTTATATGGAACCTCATGATCGATCGGGCCCGGTCCAGGACCGGTTTTTGGCCACCACTAGTTGGACGTACGTTCAGGTCCCGTAAATAAGAGGGCCTTAATTTTTTTTAATATATAATAGTAGTTCCAAAAATAGTAGTAAAAACAAATAATTTTTTTAGTAATTAATAGGAGCAAAAAAATAAATAATATTATATTAAAGACTTAAAAATATGTTAATTAATTATATTGGATAAGAAAATATGTAAAAAGTTAATATGACTTTTATTTTATAATATTACTTATTGTTTTTCTAAGTTTTTTTTATCAAAGTACCAAAGTCTAAAACTAGTTGTTGAGAAAACCTTGATATGTTCTGCATCATTCATCTCCCACAGGCTCTTTTGATTATTTTATTCTCATGAATTCTATTTTTGTATCATAAATTAGTAGGTTTCTTATTATTAGCTAAAAAAACTCGTACAGTTTGAAAAAAAGTTGTCAACCATATGAGACGATCTAACTTATATTTATATTTATGATTTCAAAAGTACGCTTGTTTTTTCATATATTATTGATTTTTTATTAAACAATATTGAGTGTATGAATCTTAAGTACTCTCGTATCTCTAAAATAAGAATAAGATCCCAAATTGTAACCAATATTGAGTATATGAATCTTAAGTACCCTTGTATCTCTAAATAAGAATAAGATATAAAAAAAATCTCTTAAAATCAACCAAAAAGAATTCTTGAAACTAATCAAAAAACCGAAAAGATACTTCAAAATCGACAGAAACACTAAAAAAAGAACTATTGAAACGGTGTAATTAGGCTAAAAAAGGTCAAACGACTTTGTCAGCCTTTAAAGGTGCCCCACTAGGCAAAAAACTTGGATTCGCCACTGCTTAGGAGTATGTAATATAGAAAAAAAATATATTTTACAAGATCTAATTTGAATTTTTTCTGTAGCATCTTCTGTAGTTCAAAAATGTCTAATTTATAACGTGTACGAAGTACACATAAGATTTAACTTACGTTGGAATTTCGCTACTTTAGAACCGTTATGATTATGGCCGCCGTTCACCATGTCCAAGGTTTACATCTATGAATTGAAAGGTCCGAATGATCCACCGATCATCCTCTCAGACCAGCTACTGGTCATCGCCAAGTGGTATCTCACTGATGGCTCGGAAATCGGACCCCCCGGAAGGAGGCCTTCTTCGCCTGCGAATTGAAAGCTAAGCAGTGGTAATTTAACGTCATGTCAACATTGAATACAAAATTTGTTCATTTCTGATGGTTTTTCAGGATACGAATAACGTCAAATAATATTTCATTTCAATATATGCATATTACCCTGCCCTAAAATATCATGTTTATTGCTTGAATTTTATCAGGTATTATTGACATTTTCTGTAAGTATATAACATTTATATACGACAAATGCGACAAATAAACTCACACGCCCTCCTCATCTCTGGTGAGGTTTGAACCCCCTGACCTTCTAGGAGGTCAAAGACTACGATACCACTAGGTCAAAGGCCCTTTGATTTGACGTTTAAAATACTACACTTGTAGAACAAAATTTATCTGGTTCACATAAATAAGGTGTTTTACATGGACCATGTGAAAGAATCACAAAAAAGTTTAGAGAAGTTTATTCGGTGTCCCAACTACATGTGATATTAGCGTTGTCGGTGTAAGATTCTCGTTCTCTTTTTGTTGGTCTTTTTCGATCTGTAAGCAAACAACACGTCTGCAAGATGCATATGATACGTAGGACGGGACATGATATGAAGAACAGTACAAAACCTTGATGCCTATTTCCAAACCCGAATGATCTTGAAGCATAATATAAGACTTTTAAAATTATATAGAACTGCCAATTGCTAAACACTTCAATTTTACGATAACGCTAACAGCTAAAATTAAATAAATGTCGGCAAAGTAACGACTAGATTTAATGAATATGAATTTAACTAGTAAGGGGTTGTTTGTTTACCTCTTAATAGTTCCATTAAAGGCAATATCTGAATAGTTAAGAGGTAAATCTTGTTTGGGGAAAAAATCCACCTCTTAATGGTTCTAAAACCCTCTGAATGATTTTGTATCCAGAGTCTCCCTTAACCATTCAGGGCCCTAATTTAATTGTAAACAATTACCAGACAACTATATTTTATTTTACACTATATCATGAGATTCTCTTAATCATTCTGTATCAAATCAGCCCCCAAGACACATTAAATTGAAGATACCATCTGAAAATTAAGAACCAAGTGAGCAAGCAACATTAAAACTTTAAAAGTTACCTTCTTTGCTTTTGTGATGACTTGCTTGCTGTCTGCTGATCGACCTGAGACAAGGAGGGTGATAGATACACGTGTGTATGTATGCACAAATTTGTTAAGGGCTCACATAGCTGTTAGCTGAAAAACTGGTTGTTTAGCTGATAAATTAGTCAGGTTTGGTAAATAAGCTAGGTAAGAATATAATATGCTAATAGTTGCTCAATTCTAATATAAAATAACATAAATGGGAAAAAGGTGGAAAAAAGCCAAAAAAGCCATCTGAAGTAACTTTTCAAAAAGCTAGCTTATGGCTTACGAAACAGGGCATTTCCAATAAGCTAGCTCGGTGTTTTTCTAATGTTCCAATGACCGGATGACATCAAGAAATGAAGTTATGATACTAGAATTGCATGGTTGGTTATGACAACCAACCATGTCACCATATGCACCGAATGATCACAATCAATCTTACCATGTCGAGAAAAATAGCAAGTAGACGTGCCTGATGGCATTCTGTTACGAAACTAAACCAAACGAACTCAGTTATTGCTCTTACGAGTAAGGGGCCGTTTACCAAACGCTTACCCGGGTAAGTGCTTACCAAATCACATTACATTACCGGATGAATATGGTAAGGACCAAGAATCTTACCCGGTAAGAACGAGACAAGGACCAAGAGTCTTACCCGGTAAGTGAGGGCAACGACTCTCACCATGGTAAGTGCTTACCGGGTAAATTGGTGCATACGATGTCGTTTTGATGGACTAAAATCTTACCCAATAAGTAAATGATAGTGTATATTTTGCCGGTAAGAGCACACCGAGTAAATGTTTGGTAAACGGCCCCTTAGCCATTTAAGTTTAGCATCAAACTCATCACACTTTCTTTTAATAGAAGAACCACACCATGATTCTACATCCCCTCCAAAAGAAATGGCAGAGTTTGATGGTAAATGTGATGGTCTCCATGGATTCACTTCTGCCACAAATGACCAAATTCTTACAAATAAATTAGTCAGAAACCACAGTAACCATATTTAAAAACAAAAGTAACCAAAGAGGCCGTTTACCGACACAAATTGGGTAAGCGCTAACCTCCTAAGAGGATGGTCTAGGTCGGCACCAATCATTGGCCTGCTTACTAAACACTTTACCACTTCTTACCGGCTATAAGTGGTGCTGACTCAGTAAGAATAACGCTGTTTATCCACACCCTCTGACCCACAATGTTGCTGTCCGGTTAAAGATCAAGAGCCTCACTTACTCAGTTAGCTATTACCCAATTTGTGTTCATAAATAGCCCCAAAGAGTCCCTCCCTTAGCTTACCAGGTCAGCATCATGGACCTATAAGAGAGGCTTGGTAAACAGCAACATCTCTGACCAAATAAGCGCCTCTTACCGATAAGCAGGTAGCAAACATCCCCTAAAATCTTGTCTAGTCCCTATAGAAAGGGATTATTAACTTGAACCAATGGAACATTCCACACAAGGATAATATAACTAAGATGTAAATAAAAAACTCACCCTGCGTAACAATACAGATGGCTGGGTACAAGTGCAACTAAAACCAAACTTCATTATCAGAAACAAACTTTTAAACAAACTTTTAAACAAAATTCATAACCAAGTATACATTACCTATCACCTTCAAATATCATATACATCATAGCATCTTGCCTTTGAGAAAAACGATCTAAAACCGCTACTATTTCATATGCTTCGGATTTGTACACTTTACATACTATGAGACCACACGGTGACTCACTGAGTTGCTACAAATGTGACACAAACATGAGATTCAAAAGCAAAGATCCAAATGATAAACCTTGATTCATACATCCAAAAGGAACAAATTCTTCAAGTTGAAGCATCTTCTTTTCAGTAATACAGCTAGTTCAACTAGGGAATGGCCTTATGTTCATAGGCTGTGATTGACAAAGCTCTAATGCACAGGGACCAAAACCTACACCAAAGGTATATAACATTATCCTCGGCTTTCAGATGCATTGTAGGCATTAGGCAATAAATGGTCCTGAGTCATACCATGCAATAAATATTAAAAATCAGCATAAACTATGTCAAAATATTAAAAACCAAACGAGCCTAGTAAATCCCACCTGGAGGTGAGGTCCAGGGGGGTTAAGATTTATGCAGACCTGACCTCTACCCTAAAGAGTAGAGCGGCTGATTCCTTTAAGACCCTTGCAAAGTGTGAAAACAGAGAAAAACAGATACTCTAAACATTGAAAGTTAGATATGAGTAGCAACAACAATACAAATAGGAAAAAAAATAGAGAGAGCATCTATTAAACAGCACAAGAAACTAGCCAAATTTGAAAAGATAATGTACTACATACATGTTCTGGAGAATCCCTTACAACTCTGCTGAGGTCTGAACTTATTTCATAATCAGCCATCAGATATATTCATTGTGATTTGGAAGTAAATGGCAAGCATTGATTGATTCCCATAGTTCTGCTACACAACAAGTGCTAGTAAATCTCAGTTGGCATTCAGATATAAGTCTGAAAACTTAAATAATGTCTACAAAGAACTCCCACCTACCAACATAGCAAGAGATTACATGCTCAAATTCATACACATCCCAACGTTACAACTGCAATCAAATATATTACTAAACCTTCACATACTTGTCAACATAGCCCTGCAAAATAATATGAGGAAAATTAGTAAGGTTAGATCAGGTATTTATTAGGGAAGGGAAACAATGACCTTGTTTTCTCTTAACAACCCAAAAAGAAAACTCAAAAAAAAAACTTACAGATGCAAAGTCATATTTGTGTTTTTTCTGGCACATGGTACCAGTTAAAGAAACTAGTTGTGTACCCGCATTCGCGCAATGCGACGGGAGCCATGAATTTTAACGATTTTGAAGTTCCACTGATTTTATAAGATAAGATTTAACGATGATATAGGTTACACTTGGTCTTTACATATTAATACAATTTGAATAAATAAGAGTTATGATTCCAATTACAGACTATCGATGAAAAAAATTGTATGACAGTTTAAAATCCAATATATTTAAAATTCAACATATTTAAACGACTCCACAAATATATTCGATTTACACCAAGAGCAAAGAACCAAGAAATTTGAGTTTTAAGATAAACACTCAAAACCAATAAAGAAAACTACAAATTTGACAGATCATAAGCCATGAAAAGACAAAAAAATGTGGGTTTTAGAATGAAATTTCAACTGCTTACTCTCTTTCTTGTCCAGAAACTCAGATTAAGGTTGAATTAATACATGTATATATATATTTCAAAAAAACCCAAGAATATATTAATTCAAAACATATTATATAGTGCAATTTGAACAGCCTAGCCCCAAAAAAATAAATAATTATAAAAGTATAAATCGTAAATATTAAAAATATTTTTTCACAGTATATATAATATATAATAATATAATTAAGTCAAAAACTATTCAATATTGGACTCATTTCGAAGGTATTAACGAGACGATTATAATGGTGTAACTTGTTAAAATAAAAATGTATTTTTTAAACATGTTTTAATTGATATACGATTATGTATGTTAATTTGATAAATGTTTAAAATGAAACATTTAAAAGTAAAGGACGTAAATTAAATTAATTAATTAATTATAGGGGTATAAAGTGTAAATTTAAAATTATAATTTTAAAAAAATCGGTTGTAAGAGAGTGAGTGTATGTGAGGAGAGTAGGGGGTGAAAAAGTGAAAAAATAGTATAAAGGGTATTTTGGTCATTTAATATTTTAAGACTTTAAGACTTTTGCTAAATTTGCTTAATAAGATAGTATAGATAAGAGTGGAATTAAACAACTAATATTGCATCATATCTTATTTCTAAGCCACAGAACTCTCTCTATATATTTCTTTAGTTCTAACTGAACAAAAATAAACCCCATCATCCACCCCGGCTATCACTTTCTAGCAAATCAACACAAAAAAGACTAACTGAAATAAATGAGCTTAGAGTGCCTTTTTACAAGCATAACAATAGATAGAACAGCAGAGATCCATCACATTTCAACAAACTTCACATTACAGAGATAATGACTCGGCTCCAATGCATCAAATCAAGTACTCTCTCCCTCCCAAAACAAGGGTCCACATTTCAATTTTAGTTTGTCCCAAAATAAGTGTCCACTTTAAAAAATAAGTGCGTACTTTCCAATTTATCCTTTATTATGAGATGGAAAAATTCATAACTCCGTTTATTATCAAGGGTAAAATTGCCATTTAATTATGAAAAATGTAATAATTACACATTTCTGTAACCGTGCGCCTTTTTCATTGCGGACATTTATTGTGGGACAGAGTATGATTTTTGAAATTGCATCTGTTTGCCAAATAGTTTATACTCCATCCTTTTTCCAGAATGAACAAAAAAACATAGAAATATGGATGTCTGTTTCAAATAGCATTGAGTTTAAAGTATTAAAGAGTAGAAATGCATCAACATACACAAAGATAGCTTTAGAGAGAACTGAGAAGAATGGTTTACCATTACAAGCTTTGTTAGCTTTCTTTGAGAGGAATCGATATATTGATTGATCTTTGCCTGTGACTTGGGTAGCTGGTGTTTCTTCATAGCTCCCGATACTTTATCGACAGTCTTCTTAACAATGGTCTTAAAGGCCTCTTTGCTCATATTCCCCTGTCGCCATGATGGCTTTAGGACTTCCTTCACAAAATCAGCAAGAGCGACTTTAAAAAGTTTCATCGATCTAGAATCTTTGCTCTTTTTAGTTTTCCCTGGATTCTTCACTTGATCGATCTCAATCTCTCCTGGTGCCACATCTGGTAAATCAATCGGAGAGATAGGACTGTCATTTTCCACAGCACCCACTTCCGCATCTGCTGTCTCACCAAATTCGTCATTTTCCACAGATGTACTTGCAGCAACAGCAACCTCTTTGTGTTTGCTGTTCTCTTCCAGATCCAAAAGCTTATTTGAGCCGCGGAGCCTCAACATGTCAGGGATGTCCGTTCCTTCAATCTTATTACCATGATCACTTTTTCTGAATGAGTTTAAAGATGGCTCAATGCTGTCGAAGAGTGGATCATATTGGTCACCTCCAGACCTAGGAATACTACGTGCAAAATAATGCATAGAAGTGGGTGAGATATTCATATTCCTTGAGCTGATACTGCCAACACCTTTCCCTTCATCAGGTATGTGATTCTGACCGATGAAAGCACCATAATTGCTACTGTTGTCTCGACTAAAAGCACCCGAACTAAACTTGGTACTCAGTGGCTGATCGAAGGTAGATGCATAAGGATTGTAGTGGCTTGAGATTCTAGATCGTCCAAAATCAGACATGCCAGAGACCTGACCCCCAGCAGGAAAATCAGTAGGATATCTCAGATTAATCTTCCCTGGCTCCCCCAGCATAGAAATGCTATCAGCCACAGGGTTTGGCAAGCTGTATCTAGACATATAAGCTTGACCTTCAGAAGATGGAACACGAATCCCCCCTGGAGGCACGCTCTCACCTGGTTCCCTAGAAAAGCGAAGAGAGTGAGGATGAGCATCACCCTGTGAGTTGGAATTGGAAGAAACTAAATTTGGTGATGGAATCCGTGGAAAGTTCTCTTCACCAAAATTCCTGGGACCTCCCGGTTGTTGGGGGATTGGGTAGTTCATAGGGAATGTTCTTGGTCTAAAATCTTCGGTGTGTGACAGAGGTCGTTGAGACTCCAGTGCAGGAGGGTATGTTCCCAGATGAGACTCACCAACCAGCGAATGAGTGGGCATTTCAGGTGGACAGGGTCTGACAAATCCCTGAAAAGGATAGTTCATACGAGGTGGCAGCTGAGTCTGCTGATACTGCGACAAGGGACCACCGAGTTGGGGGCGTGGCGGTGGTGGTGGCAAAGGGTTCCAGGAGGAAGCAGGTGGAGCAGATAACTCAGGAAGTTCAGAAGACAACAGGGCTTGATACGGAGGATATATTTCTGCAGAAGCAGAATGTGAAGAATAATTTGATGTTGGCTTGACGTTGTATTCTCTGGGAAGCTGTGAAGGACTTGAGGCATGTGTACCTTGTGAAAGTGGGGGAAGGAGCAGTTGTGCTTCGGCTGGAGATACTTGGTTTGAAGGACGTGCACTGATTGAAAGTTGGCCTGGGATGGCCGATCTTTGATCAGTTGCAGGGTGTTCAGTATTTGGCTGAAGTTGGTCATTGGAATTTTGAAGCAATGGACCAGAAGGATTGGCTTGTGACTGCAGATTCCCAATGCCAAGCAACCTTTCCCCATCCACATCAGTTGGAACAGCAGCAGGGACATTACCAACCAGCTTATCAACATCCAAGGTTTCATGAGGACTTACAACCTCCGCGGAGTGACTTGCAGGCTCCACAAACCCTTCCTTGACCCTCTCGCTACCTTTATCAACATCCTGATAGAGCAAAATCTCTTGGCCATCGACCTCATCTTTCTCAGGTACTAATTTACCATAGCTTTTTAATCTATCTGGCACCTCTTGGTACTGCTGCTTGTTCTTGTGATGCCTGGATTCCTCACTCTTTTCAGAGTCATGAAGGTACCTACATGACTCCCCACGGAAGCACTTGCCTCGACGAAAATCAAAACAAACTGGTAGGTGACTTCTATTCCTTCTGGTCCAGTCGCCACCGGCCCCTCCCCCATACCTATAAGGAGACCTGCTCCTGCTTCTTTTCTTGGGGGACCAGCTGCCAAGATTTAGAAAATACATCCATTAAGAAAACTTCATCTTTAAGAAGAAAAAAAGTAGCAGCAAAAATTCTAGTGCTACGACGATAGTAATCATATGAAGTCATATAATTGGTCTTTAGGCTTAATGTCAACTTGCAAGATTCAACCCTCAGTCAAACTCACACAACTTGTCCCTTTGACCAGCTTTTACCCACTTCGAAAGTATGTTTAGATTGGGCGTTTGAAAATGGCATATTCAAAAATTTCCCCCATCTTACAGCTGATAATTACTAAACATGCCATCATCCTAATTGATCTTTTGTCGACAATCATCACTGTCAGCAAAAAAATAAATAAAGTATGAAAAACATTCATGGATTGATCCACTAACTGAGCCATTTATTGTACGAAGTTGAAAAACTACAGGAGTAGTTCACCTTAACAACAATGGTTTCACGCTTACACACTATCATCTCCCATTGTGCTTTCTTTGTTTCTATTTCTAAGCACAAAAGCTTAAAACGGGATAGTTATAACTTTCAGAGAGGAAGTGATGACAACTCATACTAAAAAATTTAACGCTTATTTTATTACAAGTTCGTTAGTCGCAATTAAATTTAAGGAAGACACAAATATGAACTTACAGGAAGGATGCTGAATTCACTTCTATCAGGGGTGTGGCAATCTATGCTGTTAATTGCCGCGCAATAGAGGTTATTGGTCATAAGCAAAATAGCGGTGGCAAAATTGCGGTTTCAATAATAGCAACGCAATTTACCGCTATTTCACCGATATTTGAGGTAAGTGCGGTCCACAATACTGATATTAGATGATGTTGACTCGGATGCTGAACTTATTGCTTGCGATTAGCTTTTTTATGAACACTTTTCCTATTTTGTGTTTGTGAAACTTGTTTAAGTTGATGTTTTGATGTTAACACTGTATTTTTAATTAATGCATATAATATGTTTATGTATGCATACATATATATATATATATTGTATATAATTCTAAGAAATATTATATAAACCGCTATTTTTTGAACTGCTATACCACTGCGATGACCGCTATTTCAAATATCAGTCCTGACCGCTATTTTGTATTTTGACCGCTGTAACAGCATAGGTAGCAATACAATGTAAAAATCAAAAGTCAATCTTTACTATTTGTCGATTAATCTTGCTGCTGATGTCCAAGATAACGGTGATTGACCAGATCAGGACTGCAAAAAGGATCGTCACAGTTTTCCGATGAAAAAGAAGATCGATGGAGCTCAAAAGACACTCATGGCTGGATAGCAGGTGATGCTACCTCATTCATCCTCGCTATTCTTCTTCATATAGCCTCAGAAGACATAACTGATGAGGAAAGCATACAAACAACTAACAATTGCACTTGGAAGTCTTTGTTCACCATGACACTAGATCTACTGACCAGTTCTTTTCTCAGGTGAAGATGGTGAAGACAACAGGTTGGTGGAGTAGGGGTGCAGGCACACAAACACATGGAGAAGAGAGATGAGAACAACAAATGTTTGCAGTCTTCATGTGTGGATTTTATACAATTTACTAATTTATCAATAGTACATGGGGTCAATTCAAGAAGTTATATTAGGACCTTTGGATAACACAAAAAGCTGGTCAAAGGGACAACTTATCGGAGGTTGCACTGCAGGGACAAACCATGCAAGTTGCGCAAAAGCGTATGGATCAGTCATATGGTTTAGCTTAATAAAAATGCAATTTAATAGCACAGACACTAAAAGCTACTAATAATACTCACCTTGGTTACAATATAGCCTTAGTCGAGAGGACACAGATTTAGGAGCGACAGAGACAATAGAATGTTAAGCACCACACACCTTTTGACATGCAAATCTAGGATCTCTTGGTCTAGTTAACAAAAACTGGATTTTCTAATCAAAGTGTTGTTTCTACATTCTACAAAAAGATATCCTAAAAACATGTTCCACATATAAGGACAGAGAAGCTTCTAATGCGTCAAATGGTATTGGTCCACTTAATCAAGGTCTAGCTAATAAAAATGGATTTTTCGATTAAATTGTTATTTCTATAATTTTACAAAAAGATATTATCAAATATGTTTCAAATGAATGGACAGAGAAGCTTCTGATGTATCCATCAGTGTTGTTCCAGTTAGTAGTATCATACGTAAATATTAAATAATTTTATCATAAAGCATGACATGAGGGAGAAAATGCTTTTCAATTTGTAGTGATCTTTATGAGGATTATATATATGGATATGTGTATATATAGAAAGAGGGAGGTTCATTTAGGATCCTTAAATATTTTGAGAACCCGGGAACCACCTATTTTATGTCGTATTTATGATGACTAACCTTGAATAATAACGAATATTATTCATCATAAATATATGGCACAACATTCGTCATGAATATTTATCATGTTATTCATCAGGAATACTATATAAAATAGGTGGTTCCGGGTTCTCAAAATATTTAAGGTTCCTACATGAACCTGCCCCTGTAAGAGAGAGAGAGAGAGAGAGAGCGTAACATATGTGACTGCTTGTGAATTAAGGGAACAATCAGAAACTTGAAATTGTGAACCAAAGTGAAGAAGAATTTATATACCAAAAAAAGAGGAACACAGCAAAAATTACAGTGATACCTTCGAGACCGACTGCGATTCTCCCTTCTCCTCCATGGACTCCTTCTCCTCCTTCCAACAGGAGATCGACTTCTACTCTTACTTCTGCCTCTTTTACCACGCCTCCTGGTATAGTCATCAGAGTCACTGTCACTAGCACCTGCCTTGACCATTCTCCCAAACTCATCAACTTCTAACTTAGCATTCCTATCTTCCTTCTGAGTCCCACCATTTTTAGAACCAACAGTATCATCTATCAAGCGATCCTTTTGTTTGAAATCTATTATAGATGTGCCACCATCAACAAATGCTTCACTGGAGTTGTCATTACCATCCTGTTCAACCTGCTCCCTCACAATGTATGAGCCAGTTTTTCCCTCCAAATCTTCTGTCCTTGTGGAAGGTTCAGGAAATTCAAATGCTGTATTCAAAGAACCTTCCAATGACCTCAATCCCTTGTCAATTTCTGAAGGATCCTTGGATTCTATAACTGTCTGCAAAGCATCCAAGCCTGTAGTACCTTCTTTGATTTGTACTGCTCCAGGACTTAAATTTTCAAGATGTGGTTCACTATCATTTTCGGAACTATCATCAGAAGCATAGCCTTGTATAAGTCTAAAGGGGCTAGTGCCTCTGATGAGATCACCAGGAACCTCCGAGGACCTGACTTCTGCTGCATCAGATGCACCTGATTGGTTCATCTCTTGATATAAAGTTATGTTGTGTTGCTCTGCTTTGCTGTCTAAAGGCCATTCAGAATCAGAAACACCAACCTTCATTGATGACTTTTCAAACTGCATATCGTCCTGAGATAGATTGGCCCCTACATTACAGAAGAGATTTTATTTATTTGTTTGATGGGCAGGAGTTGTGCTGGAACTTGTTAAATATGTTAGCAGCTAAATGTCATGAAGTAAATCTTATACCACATCTGTTAAAGTCGAGGGATTAAAAAAATGTTCAACAAACTCAGCTAAAATAAGCAGTAACCAACAGATAACAATCTTATGTAGTGTATTTGACTACAAGATTATCTTGAACCATAAGTGGGTATTTAATTTCAAAACTTAGCATGCATTTAAAGTACGAGCATCTAAAATAAAATAGCCAAAAGGTAATAACCAGTGTTTGAATAAAATATCAGCAATTTCTCCTGATCTAATACCAATATATGTCATACTATCACAGCGTCACAGTTGTCCCAGCAAGTCAGTTCATGGCACCACAACGAATAATGCTAGCCAACCAGCAAGCACGAAGTCATGCCAGGCGAGCACCCGCCATGCAGTAAATATAGTGGAAATCAGTCACCATATGATATTTATGCTTAAAAACTATTTGATAACATGATCCCATTATGCAAAAATATACCAACATTAACCTCCAAAGATAAAATAAGTCTAAGTACCACTAAAATATGCCCAGGCAACACAAATAGAACAAAATTATGCTTGATGCCTATAATTTTTAAGTTAAAATGCATAATACATCAACTACAATGATTATAACCTAAAATTCAAAAATTAAAACACATACGTGACATAATTATAAGTCTTTTTATCTAGAATTTATTGTCAAATGTTGCTAAAATTTCCAAATAAGAAGCAATGTTGCAGTCATCACTTGCGCACCATGCATGAAAAATTGTGCATTGCTCTGGATTTGGTAGTGTCAGCTTTGGGAAAAGAACAATAAAATATAAAAGAAACATGTTACTGTTATGTCATGTATGTGTTTAAAAAAATAGAACTGGGCACCGAAGAAAATTGAAGAAAGAAACGAAAAAAGAACAGAGACACTCTTCGGATAAAGAGACAATTTTTCTCTGGTGCATGCAACTTGAGTTTCCTAATTCATCTCCGGCGCACACTCATCTTCAAGCTCGTCTCACCAATCCACTCTACAGTACACAATTGATTAGGGCTTAAAGTTGGGCCTCAGAATTGATCTAGGCTAGGGGGTTTTGTTTCTCTATTTTACTTTTTATTGGAGTAAATTTGTGCATCAGACATGCATCAAAAAGAATTACAAAAGAATTGCCATTAGACCGCACTGCAGCAAGGTGAAAGTATGCCTTGCCAATTGGTCAAAGCAGAGGACACCAAGGTACCCATAACAATTATGAACCCAAACACACATCAAAGGAAACCTTAAACATCCAAAGTCAATGAGGTCTACGCAACACTCTACAAAATTATAAAGAACCAGGTTAGAACGAAACAACTCGTAGCATTGCAATTTCCTGAATTTCCTACTAAATCCTTGTATGTGACCTTATGTATCCCCCTCCAATCAGAATCTTACGTCTCAACTTTTTCCAGCTAACTAGTTCATTGGTCACAAATCCCATGGGAGTAACCTCACATGTCCCTTTGAAGCAAATCCAGGGTCTTCAATTTAACACAGGATACAAATTTTCACTTGCACAGTTGACATTACCAAAAAAATCAGTGCATTTGCCACTAACTCAGTGCACCCCTTTTAAGTTTATCTTCAATTGGACATACATTTATGATATTAAAATCCATTGAAAAATAAAAAATATTCTTAAGAACCATTTTCTTCAGCAAGTGAAGACACAAACGCAAGAAGAATGGAAGTTTGAGCATTTATGCTCGATAAAGAAATATCAATTTTAGCTGAATTAAGAGAAGTCGTTGTGGGCACACCTTTCAGGAATTTAATGAAAGGTAGAATATGAGCAAATCAGAACTCATAAAACAGTAAAATCCAATTTTCGTTTATTTTGTTGGCTCTATTACACATTTTCCTCCATCCAGAAATTAGCTATCTTCTAAAGAGCACATCTACATAGCAATTCCATTTAGCCAAACCAAACCAAAGAAGTATATCCCACTCAAAAGGGTCTGGGGGTGGGATGTATGCAGAGACCTGTGCTCTACCCTAAAGGGTAGAGTGGTTGTTTCCGTGAACCAATCCACTAAGCAATGTCCCTTAATAAAGCAGGAACATCCCCTCTAACTTCCACATAGTTCTTACAGTTTTCTTTATCTTTGTTTTTTAGATGAACTTAGGCATTGAACCCATTCCCTTTCTCTCCGTGAAAGGTTGTGCACACGACATTTGCTTGGTATATGTGGGCAAATTTTAGGACTTTGTGCTTTCAAATTTTTATTGCTTCACAGAAGTTATTTTGATAATTCGATGGTATGTTACGAATCTCTTCCAACAGCAGTAATGCTCATTGCGAGATTCAAGAGAAGATGGATCRGGTCTTCTATTAAGAGGTGGACCTTGAAGCAATCATTGTCATTGCGGATTTGGGGGTTCTAAACCAGAGGAGAGGCAGAGGCAGCGAAAGAAGAGAAGCTTACTCTATTCCCGATGCGGGAATAGCGGGACCAATCCATCTCAGATTTCAATGCTGTATGCCTTCTAATAAAGATTTTAAGGTTAAGCGAATAGCAACGACTAAAAGGGATTTCAAGATCTGTTATAACAACTGGGTGTTTCTTAATGCTTAACCTTTTATAGAATTGCAGTACCAGACAGATACTCCATTGCAGACACAAGTTTTTAAGTCAGCTTTTAGAGACTAAAACTTTCAGTTGTCATCAGCAAACAATTTAGGAACCCATAATTCAACGACCGCTACTCCTAGAAGTTCTACATGGATACTAACATTACAAAAGAAGATGGAAAATAATAATATTCAATAAAAGACGACTAAAAATGAAACAAATGCACTAAAATTTGAAAAGGAAAGAAGCAATGATAGTGGAAACAGCAAATACACCCGAAGAATACAAATATTGACTTGTGGTAACAGAAGAACAAGAAATTGATATTGCAGATGGACTCACGATCATATCAACAGAAGAACAAGAAATTGACTTGTGGATCATACAGCAGAAGATTTTGCTTTGAACACTTCGGTTTAAAACTTTTAAGACATTGCATGACAAACATAAGCTAGCTTATTTTCTGAGTACATGTTTGGATGGACATAAGCTAGCTTATTGAAAAGCTAGTTGGGGGTAGCTTATTAGGAGCTTATTCTCACTTTTTCCAATTATAACCCTGATTAATATTAATTATTAATTATTAAATAATTATTAATTATTAAATAATTATTAAGTATTAAATAATTATTAATTATGAATTAATATTAATTTCAATTTAAT